CCTGACGGCCCGGAGGTTGAGACCCTTCGTGGTGCGTCTGGAGCTGTAGGCTCGCCCTGGCGGCCCGGAGATTGAGACACTCCGAGGTGTGTCTGAGACAGTGAGCCAGAGGCTCAGGGAGCTTGTGGTGAGTTGCTCTCTCAGCACGGTTGGTACAGCTAAATGCTGCAATGTGAGGCTTGGAGAGAGGGGTTGGTGTGTCCTTTCCCCGATAGGGAGCTTGCAGTGGGTTGCTCTATCAGCTCGGTTGGTACAGCTAAATGCTGCAATGCGAGTCCTGGAGAGAGGTGTTATTGTGTCCTCTCGGCTCGGTTGGTACAGCTGATTGCTGCAATGCGAGTCCTGGAGAGAGGTGTTATTGTGTCCTCTCGGCTCGGTTGGTACAGCTGATTGCCGCAACGCGAGTCTTGGAGAGATACTGGTTTAAATTTCCCCCGCTACGGCCGATACGTGTGACGAACTGCGGCGACGCGCAGAGGCGTCGGAGGGTGTGTAAACATGGGATATGGATTATCTGTTGTGATTCCCAAATGACTATACTGGGATGCAAGTGCGGGGAGAACCGCAGAGATATGCGGGTGCACGGGGATTGCGGGATTGCCGTTCGAGCATGTGGCCGCCATTTTGTGTGAGCGCAGGAAACCGCGGGGGATGCGGTCCGCGAATGCGTCCGCCATTTTGTACGTGCACGGGTATTTGTGTGAACCATTTCCGGGCAAGAGCAGGCATTTTTTTTTCGTGTCACGTCGATTTAACATATTTTTTACGAAAAATGTAGATACTGAGGCAACCCTAAAGTGCGACTTCTTTGCCCAGTACATGGGTCAAACTCGAAGCATGACTTCCTTGACCCGGGATGTTGTACAACATGCAACGTTGTACCTTTGGGTGCAGCATACGGGCTCGACCCTGAAGCGTGACTTCCTTGAGCCAGTACATGGGTCGACCCTGAAATGTGCGACTTCTCGACCTGGGATGTAGGGAGACGTCCGGAATGTTAAGTGGTGTTTGTAGGTGGGTGTTAGACTTTTGGTATTCGCCCTATTGCCACCTGTGGGGTGGAACGGTAGCAGAGCGGTGTGAGACCCTGCCATCTATGGGGTGGTTGTGTGATTTTGGTTTGATTACTGGTGTTGGTTGTGCATCCAAGGCGTCAGAATCTATGTATTTTTGTTTTTCTTTCTTCCGCCGGGCGGAATACAATCATCTCCACTTCTCTGTGCCGGGTGGCTGTCGTGTCCGACGAGCTGAGGCGTGGGCTTGTGGTGCTGTGCCTCAGGAGGTGGTTTCTTCTTGTCACAGGATTCCTGCACCTGCCGCCATTGGAGTCACCGGTTGTGCTGACCGGATGTGGACTTGAAGAGGGGGAGTGGAGCGCCCGTACGTCACTCCTGCTCATCCTGTTGCCCAACTCCTGGGGAGGGGCTGTGCCCTTTTTGGGCCTTTTTCAAGTTCCCCCAGGACCTGCAGGGAGAGCGTGCTCGCCTCCCCTGGGGGCTCAGCCATGCGAACTCGTTTGAAGACTGGCCGCTGTCCATGATTCTCACACCTTGTTGATTGCCTGCACCGTTGTCAAACAGCCACATTCATATGTCGGTGCGTGCGTACAAATTCACACAGATGGGCTGTGCTGAGGGATAAGTGGGTTGACCAGTTCTTTTTGTGTACATGTGGTTGTTGTTGGTTCCCCTCGTTCCATACGTTCTTCCCTTACCCCCTCTGGGTGTGTGTACATATGTTTCTCGCGGTAATTATTATCGGTCGCCGGTTATTTATTAATATTGTTGTTGGAGGCACACTGTTTTTTTCTGTATTGTCACAGTCGAGACGGCTGTTTTATTTTACATGGGGGAGGGTGATATAGTGATGGTAGCATCACTACTGTGTACACACGCACACGTGTGACGTCACTATGCGGGGGAGCTTCACGATCACGTGGGTCTACGCACACACATGACGTGATCCCGGCTGGAGGCGGGAATGACGTCAGGGCCGGTTCTGGACTCGGGAGGCCACGAGGGTGGTGTGAGGTCGTGGCACTCTCTGTGACCCCGGCTGGACATGTGACTGGACCCCAGTGGGGGCCTAGGGGGCACCTCGGGGGGCACGTGGACAGCAGGGGGGGGGGCTTCGAGAAGGTTCTCGAAGGGAGGCGTGGCCGGGGCGGGGCCCGGGCACACCGAGGCCAACATAAGCAGCCTCCTCACGAGGTTCGAGGCTGCTGCCCGTATCGAGGACGAAGATGCATCGTGAAGACGCCAAGAAGAGATCCGTGTGTAGGTCCCAGCCGGAGGACTCTAGGATAGCGGTAGACGTGTAAGTCCCACCAAGACAGGAGGCTGTAACTCCTTAGGTTAGCAAGAGATCCGTGTGTAGGTCCCAGCCAGGGGACTCTAGTATAGCGGTAGACGTGTGAGTAAGTCCCACCAAGACAGGAGGCTGTACCTCCCTAGAGTATCTGAGAAGTGTGTGTTAGCTAGAGTAACCGGTGGTCACCACCCTATGCGTAATGTAAGAGTTAACTGTTGTGTTCATTAATAAATAAGTGTTGCCTCTCAAGAAGTTGTGTGTGCACCTAATTCGAATCCACTACACTTATAAGGCCACACGCAATGCTGTTGGCGAGCGGCATGCCATGTGTGCACGCGCATGTCTCTTTATTGATTGTGCAGAGGATATCACGACCACTCTGTTACTGTAGTTGTGACTCATAAACAGTCAAACCCGATACTCCTTCTTACACGTCAAAGATTAGCACGATTGGCTATGTACGGTGTGAAAGAAATGCAATATATGTACGTAGACTCACACAGAGACCGATAGATTTACACAGACACACAGACTCACACGGACACCTATACTCACACAGACACCCATAGACTCACACAGAGACCCACAGACTCACACAGATACCAATAGATTCACACAGATACCCATAGACTCACACAGAGACCCATAGACTCACACAGAGACCCATAGACTCACACAGATACGCATAGACTAACACAGACACCCATAGACTCACACAGATACCCATAGACCCACACAGACACCCATAGACTCGTACAGATACGCATAGACTCACACAGATACCAGTAGACTCACACAGATACCCGTAGACTCACACAGAGACTCATAGACTCACACAGTGACTCATAGACTCACACAGTGACCCATAGACTCACACAGTGACCCATAGACTTACACAGAGACCCATAGACTCACACAGATACCCGTAGACTCACACAGATACCCGTAGACTCACACAGAGACTCATAGACTCACACAGTGACCCACAAACTCACACAGATACCCATAGACTCACACAGAGACCCATAGACTCAAAGAGACCCATAGTTGTCCTTCCTCCTGCACCTCCGATTAGGGTGGTGAGCTACGTACGGTGCGAAAGAATATCAACACACATACATAACAGGTTTTTTTGGGTTAGATCGCGTCAATATATAAAACGCACATACTCCACGTACCAGGTCGCTGCTGATTGCAGTTGCTGGCTATCCGACTACCCATCGTTGCACGCTGACCCGCGTGGTGAAGTATGGTGGACCTTAAATATTCGCATTCTACTCTTGTACTGAGTTTGAGTGCGTCAATTAGGAGAACTGTGAGTGGCTCTTGAACGCACGAGATATAAACTGTGGTGTGCCCAGGCTGTGTTCAGCTCTCATAGCATGACCTGCTGCGGCTCTGCGGTGGCTAGATGTTAACTACCTCGCCTGCTATACAGGAGGCCGTGGGTTCGATCCGAAACCCTGACGCCTACTGTATAGGTTGGAGTTCGCTGTGTCTCTCTCTGTCTCTCTCTCGCTCCCCGTGGTCGGGTGGATTTTCCCCTGGGAGGCCTCCCCGGTTTTTCCCCTCCACATTTAGAATCAACGTCACGCGTTTAACATGATTTTACTGTTGCTATTCATGTCCGCATGATGCTGTTAAAGGCACTTAAATTTGAGCTTTCATTTCTGATCGCATGGTCGCTTATGAACAACAGAGCTATACAGATGAAGCGGGCCCTTACGACTGGTAAACCCCCCCCAAAAAAAACCCAGTTTAGATTTAAAAGTTTGACTTAAAACTTTCGTGACTGCAGGAATTCATATTTTTGGTTCTTTCGGTAAAGTCACGTAGGTAGAAAAGAATGAAATTCTAATTTAAAAGTATAAAATATTTTTATTGAAAATAATAAAAGCAAAGAAACACGATAAAAATAGTAAAATAAAATAAAAAATTTGAAATAATAAAAGCCTGATGAAGACCGCATGTGTTGCGATCGAAACGTCGTGGTTCTTTTTGCATTTATTATTTTTTAATTTATTTTTAATTTATTACCTATTTAAAATTTTAGTGGTATTTTGCTTTTATTCTTTTCAATTTATCATTTTTTAATGATTTATTATTTTAATTTTTCTTATTTATTTTTGGTTTCTATCTACTTGAGTTTACCGAAAGAACCAAGAATATACTCTTTGGTTCTATTCGGTAAAGTCACGTAAAAAACAAGAAAAAATTCACGACGTTTCGGCCACAACACAAGTGACCTTCATCAGGTGAAGGGACCAGACTGTCTAGAGGACAGCGCTAGACAGTCTGGTCCCTTCACCTGATGAAGGCCACTTGTGTCGCGGCCGAAACGTCGTGAATTTTATTTTGTTGTTTTTTACGTGACTTTACCGAATAGAACCAAAGAGTATGGATCCTTGCAGTCACGAGAGCTTCAAATCTAGAACCAAGAATACATCTTTTTTTTACGATTTAAAGCTTTCGTGACTGCAAGGATTCATCTTCTTTGGTAAATTTCGGTAAAGTCACCGCGTAGAATGTTTTATTTTAGTATTTTATTCTCATTCTACGTGACTTTACCGAAAGAACCAAAGAAGACGAACACGAATATATCGTTTAGATTGTATTTTTAACTCTGTCCACATCGGCCAACCAGCAAATCCGGCGCAGTGTCCACTCCCGGAGTGATGCGGAACTCTTACCGGAGCTCTTCGTGGCGTGGCTCGGAGATTCATCCGCGCTGCTGCTGCTGTAGTGGTAGTGGTAGTTGTTGTTTTTGTCTTAAATCATTGCTGGAGCTTAACTCATTATGCGCATACTCGATACACAAACGGAAACTTATTCAGCTCTCCCAACAACAACAGCAGCAGCAGCAGCGTACTGACTGCGCTCATCCAGGAGCGAGCACAACCCTACTGTATGTATATATCACGACGCAATGATGCGCGCAAGGGATCCACAAAGACGAAGCAGCAGCAGGAGGAGAAGAACACCCGCGGGCAATACACAAACTCTGACGCGGATGCTTCTGCGCTGAGCCCACTCAACGAATGCATGCGTGACACTCTTAATCGTTTTGTCTCTTCGAGTCTACATCGTCTGCCGCCGTAGGGAAGAAGGAGAATGAGAAGGGGAGGATGAAGAGGATTGGGAGCTCTTGACGCTCGATTTTAGTTTGATTTTTTAGATGAAACTGCTAGCAGCGTCCCCCCACCACGGATTGCTTTGGCCACGGACCTGCGGGCGGGGCGGGCGGGGCGAAACTGGGAGATTCTACAAAAAATAAATCCAGCGCTGACGACGGCCGTCGGTTTATCTTGCGGAGCAGAGTCCAGAGATTGTGAGTCGACCCCCCCCCATCCCTCCCCTCTACCCCCCCCATCCCTCCCCTCTACCCCCCCCATTCCTCCCCTCTACCCCCCCCATTCCTCCCCTCTACCCCCCACTCCTCCCCTCTAACCCCCCTCCCATTCCTCCGCTCTACCCCCCCCACTCCTCCCCTCTACCCCCCCCATTCCTCCCCTCTACCCCCCCCATCCCTCCCCTCTACCCCCCCCATTCCTCCCCTCTACCCCCCCATCCCTCCCCTCTACCCCCCCCCATTCCTCCCCTCTACCCCCCCATCCCTCCCCTCTAACCCCCCCATTCCTCCGCTCTAACCCCCCCCCCCCATTCCTCCCCTCTACCCCCCCATTCCTCCCCTCTACCCCCCCCCATCCCTCCCCTCTACCCCCCCCCCCCATTCCTCCCCTCTACCCCCCCCATTCCTCCTCTCTACCCCCCACTCCTCCCCTCTAACCCCCCCTCCCATTCCTCCGCTCTACCCCCCCCACTCCTCCCCTCTACCCCCCCCATTCCTCCCCTCTAACCCCCCCATCCCTCCCCTCTACCCCCCCCATTGACTCCCCTCTACCCCCCACTCCTCCCCTCTAACCCCCCCTCCCATTCCTCCGCTCTACCCCCCCCACTCCTCCCCTCTACCCCCCCCCCATTCCTCCCCTCTAACCCCCCCATCCCTCCCCTCTACCCCCCCCCCATTCCTCCCCTCTACCCCCCCATCCCTCCCCTCTACCCCCCCCCCCATTCCTCCCCTCTACCTCCCCATCCCTCCCCTCTAACCCCCCCATTCCTCCGCTCTACCCCCCCCCCATCCCTCCCCTCTACCCCCCCATCCCTCCCCTCTACCCCCCCATTCCTCCCCTCTACCCCCCCATTCCTCCCCTCTACCCCCCACTCCTCCCCTCTAACCCCCCCTCCCATTCCTCCGCTCTACCCCCCCACTCCTCCCCTCTACCCCCCCCATTCCTCCCCTCTACCCCCCCCATCCCTCCCCTCTACCCCCCCCCATTCCTCCCCTCTACCCCCCATCCCTCCCCTCTACCCCCCCCCATTCCTCCGCTCTACCCCCCCATCCCTCCCCTCTAACCCCCCCATTCCTCCGCTCTACCCCCCCCCCCATTCCTCCCCTCTACCCCCCATTCCTCCCCTCTACCCCCCCCCATCCCTCCCCTCTACCCCCCCCCCCATTCCTCCCCTCTACCCCCCCCCCATTCCTCCTCTCTACCCCCCACTCCTCCCCTCTAACCCCCCCTCCCATTCCTCCGCTCTACCCCCCCCACTCCTCCCCTCTACCCCCCCCATTCCTCCCCTCTAACCCCCCCATCCCTCCCCTCTACCCCCCCCCCATTCCTCCCCTCTACCCCCCACTCCTCCCCTCTAACCCCCCTCCCATTCCTCCGCTCTACCCCCCCCACTCCTCCCCTCTACCCCCCCCCATTCCTCCCCTCTAACCCCCCCATCCCTCCCCTCTACCCCCCCCATTCCTCCCCTCTACCCCCCCATCCCTCCCCTCTACCCCCCCCCCATTCCTCCCCTCTACCTCCCCATCCCTCCCCTCTAACCCCCCATTCCTCCGCTCTAACCCCCCCCCCCATTCCTCCCCTCTACCCCCCCATTCCTCCCCTCTACCCCCCCATCCCTCCCCTCTACCCCCCCCATTCCTCCCCTCTACCCCCCCCCCCATTCCTCCCCTCTACCCCCCACTCCTCCCCTCTAACCCCCCCTCCCATTCCTCCGCTCTACCCCCCCCCACTCCTCCCCTCTACCCCCCCCCATTCCTCCCCTCTAACCCCCCCATCCCTCCCCTCTACCCCCCCCCATTCCTCCCCTCTACCCCCCCATCCCTCCCCTCTACCCCCCCCCATTCCTCCCCTCTACCCCCCCATCCCTCCCCTCTAACCCCCCCATTCCTCCGCTCTACCCCCCCCATTCCTCCCCTCTACCCCCCATTCCTCCCCTCTACCCCCCCCATTCCCTCCCCTCTACCCCCCCCCATTCCTCCCCTCTACCCCCCCCCATTCCTCCCCTCTACCCCCCACTCCTCCCCTCTAACCCCCCTCCCATTCCTCCGCTCTACCCCCCCCCACTCCTCCCCTCTACCCCCCCCATTCCTCCCCTCTACCCCCCCATCCCTCCCCTCTACCCCCCCCATTCCTCCCCTCTACCCCCCCATCCCTCCCCTCTAACCCCCCATTCCTCCGCTCTAACCCCCCCCATTCCTCCCCTCTACCCCCCCATCCCTCCCCTCTACCCCCCCCATCCCTCCCCTCTACCCCCCATTCCTCCCCTCTACCCCCCCCATTCCTCCCCTCTACCCCCCACTCCTCCCCTCTAACCCCCCCTCCCATTCCTCCGCTCTACCCCCCCCACTCCTCCCGTCTACCCCCCCCATTCCTCCCCTCTAACCCCCCCATCCCTCCCCTCTACCCCCCCCCCCATTCCTCCCCTCTACCCCCCCATCCCTCCCCTCTACCCCCCCCCCCATTCCTCCCCTCTACCCCCCATTCCTCCCCTCTAACCCCCCCATTCCTCCGCTCTACCCCCCCCACTCCTCCCCTCTACCCCTCCACTCCTCCCCTCTACCCCCCATTCCTCCCCTCTACCCCCCCTCTATTCCTCCCCTCTACCCCCCCCACTCCTCCCCTCTACCCCCCTCATTCCTCCCCTCTACCCCCCCCCCATTCCTCCCCTCTACCCCCCCATTCCTCCCCTCTACCCCCCCATCCCTCCCCTCTACCCCCCCATCCCTCCCTCTACCCCCCCCATTCCTCCGCTCTACCCCCCCATTCCTCCCCTCTACACCCCCCCATTCCTCCCCTCTACCCCCCCATCCCTCCCCTCTACCCCCCCCCATTCCTCCCCTCTAACCTCCCCCCCCACTCCTCCCCTCTACCCCCCCATTCCTCCCCTCTACCCCCCCCATTCCTCCCCTCTACCGCCCCTACTCCTCCCCTCTACCCCCCCCACTCCTCCCCTCTACCCCCCCATTCCTCCCCTCTACCCCCCCCATTCCTCCCCTCTACCCCCCCCCACTCCTCCCCTCTACCCCCCACTCCTCCCCTCTACCCCCCCTCATTCCTCCCCTCTATCCCCCCTCCATTCCTCCCCTCTACCCCCCCCCATTCCTCCGCTCTACCCCCGCATTCCTCCCCTCTACCCCCCCCCATTCCTCCCCTCTACCCCCCATCCCTCCCCTTTACCCCCCCCCCATTCCTCCCCTCTAACCTCCCCCCCCACTCCCCTCTACCCCCCCCATTCCTCCCCTCTACCCCCCCCCCCCCATTGGACCCCTCTACCCCCCCCATCCCTCCCCTCTAACCCCCCCATTCCTCCGCTCTACCCCCCTCCCCATTCCTCCCCTCTACCCCCCCATCCCTCCCCTCTACCCCCCATTCCTCCCCTCTACCCCCCCATCCCTCCCCTCTAACCCCCCCACTCCTCCCCTCTACCCCCCCATTCCTCCCCTCTACCCCCCCTCTATTCCTCCCCTCTACCCCCCCCCACTCCTCCCCTCTACCCCCCTCATTCCTCCCCTCTACCCCCCCTCCATTCCTCCCCTCTACCCCCCCCCCATTCCTCCCCTCTACCCCCCCATTCCCCCCCTCTACCCCCCCATCCCTCCCCTCTACCCCCCATCCCTCCCCTCTACCCCCCCATTCCCTCCGCTCTACCCCCCCATTCCTCCCCTCTACACCCCCCATTCCTCCCCTCTACCCCCCCATCCCTCCCCTCTACCCCCCCCCATTCCTCCCCTCTAACCTCCCCCCCCCACTCCTCCCCTCTACCCCCCCATTCCTCCCCTCTACCCCCCCCATTCCTCCCCTCTACCGCCCCCACTCCTCCCCTCTAACCCCCCCCCACTCCTCCCCTCTACCCCCCCATCCCTCCCCTCTACCCCCCCCATTCCTCCCCTCTAACCTCCCCCCCCCACTCCTCCCCTCTACCCCCCCCATTCCTCCCCTCTACCCCCCCATTCCTCCCCTCTACCGCCCCCACTCCTCCCCTCTACCCCCCCCCACTCCTCCCCTCTACCCCCCCATTCCTCCCCTCTACCCCCCCCATTCCTCCCCTCTACCCCCCCACTCCTCCCCTCTACCCCCCCACTCCTCCCCTCTACCCCCCCTCATTCCTCCCCTCTATCCCCCCTCCATTCCTCCCCTCTACCCCCCCCATTCCTCCGCTCTACCCCCCCATTCCTCCCCTCTACCCCCCCCCCCCATTCCTCCCCTCTACCCCCCCATCCCTCCCCTTTACCCCCCCCATTCCTCCCCTCTAACCTCCCCCCCCACTCCTCCCCTCTACCCCCCCCCATTCCTCCCCTCTACCCCCCCCATTCCTCCCCTCTACCCCCCCCCCATTCCTCCCCTCTACCCCCCCATTCCTCCCCTCTACCGCCCCCCCCCCTTTTCCTCCCCTCTACCCCCCCCCCATTCCTCCCCTCTAACCTCCCCCCCACTCCTCCCCTCTACCCCCCCCACTCCTCCCCTCTACCCCCCCCACTCCTCCCCTCTACCCCCCCCATTCCTCCCCTCTACCCCCCCATTCCTCCCTCTACCCCCCCATTCCTCCCCTCTACCCCCCATTCCTCCCCTCTACCCCCCCATTCCTCCCCTCTACCCCCCCCCCATTCCTCCCCTCTACCCCCCCATCCCTCCCCTTTACCCCCCCATTCCTCCCCTCTAACCTCCCCCCCCACTCCTCCCCTCTACCCCCCCCATTCCTCCCCTCTACCCCCCCCATTCCTCCCCTCTACCCCCCCCCATTCCTCCCCTCTACCCCCCCATTCCTCCCCTCTACCGCCCCCCCCCCTTTTCCTCCCCTCTACCCCCCCCCATTCCTCCCCTCTAACCTCCCCCCACTCCTCCCCTCTACCCCCCCCCACTCCTCCCCTCTACCCCCCCCACTCCTCCCCTCTACCCCCCCCATTCCTCCCCTCTACCCCCCCATTCCTCCCCTCTACCCCCCCCATTCCTCCCCTCTACCCCCCCAT